CGCCACCTTAGGTGTACGTGGCTGGCGCCTTAGCCGGTTGAGCTATAGGCGCCGAGCCTGATTTTTCTATTTTTATTAGAGACAGGGTCTTGCCCTTGCTCGGCTGGTCTTAAGCACCTGAGCTCAAGGGATACTTCTGTCTCAGGCTCCTAGAATGCTAGGATTATAGGTGGGAGCCACCATGCTGGGCCAGAAAAGGAGAGCTCTTTAGGGGAAGCAATAGCTATGATAGTGGTCCCAGCCATCTGTCCAGATTGTGGCCACCCCTTCTGCTCTAGGATGGAACCAGCTATGGAGTAGGAGGAAATCGTAGTTAGATGCCCCTCCACAGGTGTTGGGTCATTGAAGCTGTTTGTAGCTCTTCCTGGCTCCTTCATTTAAAGCCCTGGCTAGGAGCCCTCCTCTTGGACAAAATGGCAGGTCGTCATCAATCACCGCTATCCAGAACCCAGGCACAGGGCTAGAGAAGCTGAGAAAGGAGGGCACACAGAGGAGGAAGGAGTCAGGAGAGAGATGATAGCTTTCCCTAGGGCCTTAAAGCAAGGAGGGAAGGACAGAGGACTCTCCACCCCAAGCCCATCTCTGACAGATGGCAGAAGGGAAATGCACTAGACCAGACTGCAAGACATGTGTTTTGGTGACAGGGAGCATAGTTAAACGGAATAAGCACAGGCCTTCGAATCTGACTGACTGAATCTGAACCTAAGATCTGACATGTCAGCTAGGTGACCTTGATCAATTTTAACCTCTAAAAGTCTCAGTCTCCTTATCTGCAAAATGAGGCTAGGAATACTTGCTTTGAAGGGTTTCTGGAAAACTGAAGATAAGGGTATAAGAAATATACCCAACACATATTAGACTCTCTATGCAGTGGCTTGGCATACAGAAGGCACTCAATAAATATTTGTTGAATAAATGAAGTACCTATTTGATGTGACCTCTACTTGTCTTTTTCTTTACCTTCTCTTCTAGCCTGATCTTCACCGGGTGGGGGTTAGGGAGCAATGGCCTTCAGGGAAACCAGGGATGGTTTGTAAATTTTATCCAGTCCTCCTAGACAGGTGGCTTCTTTAATCACCCTCAGGAAGTGCCCTTGCTTTTACAGGCAGTGGCTTCTGTCCTTACCCACTGGCTCTATCTCATCCCCCCCTGAACTCTGCACACTGGCTCTCACAGCTCAGAGTGGGTCCTCTTTTCTTCTGTTAACGTCAGTAGCAATCTCACACCACGGGTTTTGCTTCTTTATTTTCCCCAGAAAGAACCTCCTTGCAGAGTTTGCTCCATGCCTTCCAGAGTTACGTTTCCTTACCCAAAGGAGTAGCGAGACTACATTCTGTTTATGATCAAGGGAGAGTTGGGGATCCATGGAAGCAGGGGATCCTTGCCTATCTAGTAAGGCACAAGTTCAGAAGGTGTGACCACTGGTCAACTCCAGCCCTAATCCTGGCTGCGGGATAGGAATAACAGAAGATTGTGGCTGGGTATGGTGGCTCACACCTGTAATCTCAGCACTCTGAGAGGATGAGGCAGAAGGATCCCTTGAGCTCAGGAGTTTGAGATCAGCCTGAGCCAAGAGCAAGGTGGCCCTTCTCCTCCATCTCTACTAAAAATAGAAAAACTATCTAAGGCATTGTGGCCAGTGCCTATAGTCCCAGCTACTGGGAAGGATGAGGCAAGAGAATCTCTTGAGCACAAGAGTTTGAGGTTGCTGTGAACTATTAACACTATAACACCAGGACACTCTACCTAGGGTGATGGAGTGAGACTGTTTCCCCCCTGCCCCCCAAAAGAGAAAGAAGCTAGCTAGTACTAGCTCTCAAAAGAACAAAGGAAATGGCAAAACTCTCCATCTTATTTTGGGGACTAAATCAAGTTGGGGGAGGTCAATAGAATAGGAGAAATTAAAGACATTAATTCATTTGTCTCTTGAGTCATTTATCAGAGTCCACAGACCCCACAAACATCACCTCCTGAGCAAGGGTTATCAGGGCTTATGAGGAAGGGCTGCCAGAGGCTGACCACAATCCCACAGAAGGGGAGAAGTTAGGCTGGGAAAGGAATGAAAGGAGACAGCAGAAACCATGGGCTGAGGCTGCTTTCTCTCAACAAGTCTGCTGGGTCTACGTCATAGCCTCTCATTAAGCATCCACTCAACGCCAGGGAAGTGAAATAGCACAGACCTGGCACCAGAAAGAACAAATGTGGCACCCACTGCTCCTTTTAAGGACTGGTTGGAGAAGCAGCAGGCCTCAGGGCAGGAGGTGAGGCAAACACCAGTACCTTGGGGGCGGGGGCTCTTTCAGGCCTGTCTCCTTCTTAACAAGCTCTCCAGGGCAAGTTTTCTGGCAACCGTCAAAAATAATGGACAATGTAGGATTTTTACAGACACTGCGGACATACTGTTTCCTCTTTGTCCCTCTGGGCAGCTGGCTTTAGCCAAGAAAAAAGGGTTGAAAGTCGCCTTAATAACTATGCATCAAAAGAGAACTATCCTAACCCTAAATTACTGAATCAGAAGGAAAGGCTGGGCCAGTGGTTCTCAAATTTCAGTATGTATCAGAATCACCTGGAAGGCCGATTAAAGCAGAATGCTGGGTTCCACTTGCTGAATTTCTCACTCAGTTGGTCTGGGATGGGCCTAAAGTGTCATCATTTTAGCAAATTCCCAAGTGACGCTGATGCTGTTGATCTGGGCATAGGTGTAATGTTTACTACCTACCCCCGCACATTTCTTTCTTTCTGTGCATTTTTCCCCAAAGGGACAGACATTCCCTTGGAAATATATTTCTTCATGTTTATACATTGTACTTGTAGCCCAAGATCTCAAAGCCCTTTCATATCTATTACCTCCATTTGCTCTCATGAATTCCCACTTGGTTAGGAGAAAACAGAGGTCAAAGGCCTTAACTACCGCCATTGTGGAGTCCTCAGGTTTCCTGTCTTCCAGTGCCAGAGGTCTTTCCCAAGAACACTCTGCTTCCCCATCCAGGTCCTTGTGATGCTGTGAGCTGTCTACAGCTCACAAACTGGCTGTTGTGACTCGACACTGCCCAGGCTACCAGTGGGGAACTCAGGGGACAAGTGGGCCTCCAGGACACAAGTTTAGGGGGACCTCAACTCATGACCCCCAATACTGAGGTAGCAGAGAAAGGTAGACATATTTGAAAGGAGATCCTTGGATAATCAACACAATTGCTTTTTTGGGACACATTGGTTGGGGACGTTTGAGGCTCACTTGGCACACCATAAACACTAAATAAATAATTCTTGAATTAATGGCAGTGACTTGTGGAAAATATTCCCAACACTACTAGTTAGAATCTTATTGCTATTTAACTGATAAAGTATTGCAAAAACAGATTATTGAAGACAACAGGGTAGTTATAACAAGACTCTTATGCCACGGTAAATTCCTTGAAGGCAAGAACCATCTGGTAATTTTCTGATCTGTTAGTAGTAGCTTAACAAACGTTTATAGAATTGAATGGGGCCAAGCAAGCTGACTTGGCCAGAGTCTTTCCTCCTGGCCAGGTGGCTCACGTGCAGGGTATACCACTGGGAGCCACGGATGTTTCTGTGTAGGATAAAGAGCCTGGTAAACCTGGGTGTGCGGTAAAGAGGCTTTTTGTTTGTTTTTTTAATTACCTACTGGAGGGAACAGAAAGCACAACAGGTTGGCAGCAGCAAACCACAGACTATGTAAGCAAGTGGAACAGATGTGACAAAAAAACCTTTCAACAGCAGGTATTTTTATAGCCAACATTAGGCAGTCGGATGGGGCAGAGGAGACAATGAATGGGTCACGTCTATTAAGCACCACATGGAATACAGCTACGACCTTCTGGCACCTCAGAAGAACCAGTGACCATGCCAGAGTCCCCCAACTTGGAAATAAAGAAACTGAGGCCAGAGAGGTCAGTGCAACTATGATTTGCAGGGGTTCTCTTTAGCAACTCACTCCCCTTGAACCAAATTATGGGCTGTGGAAATGGGTACATGAGTGCATTATGGCAGGGACATCACAATGACACTAAGGCAAATCCCATCCAACACAATGATCAACAAACTCCAAGCAGCCATTGCTCTGTGCCAGGCACTGAGCACTGGTTGTGAGAAATGAGCAAAGTCACCACAGTCCCTCCCTCTACCAAGGGACACTGGGGGAAAATAAAGTACTGCTGTGGCCTTTTGTTACTGATTTGTAATTCCAGAAATATCTCCATTCTCTGCAGACAGGAAAGGGAGGACAATTATTACCCCTTTTAAAAAGCTGTGGTAGCCCTAAAGCTTGTGACCTGACCTTTCAGTTCTCCTTAAAGAAACATGTAGAAACAAGTAGATGTTCTGCACTCAGCATTTCCAAACAGGGTATAAATACTCAACTAACGAACAGCTAGCTTAGAATTCCCTGGTGAAAACTTATAAACAAGGTAAATAGAAAAGCTTCTAAAGCTCTGGTGTCATGCCACATAGAAATCTAGAGCTGTTAGGAAGACAAATATTTCTTATGCTTAAAACTTCAGAAAGACACTTCTTTGTACCTCAACATCAATGCAGGAAAGAAAAGACACCCTCACAAATTAAGTCCTTAGAGCTCCCTGACCCCCTACCCCCAAACGTCACCTTCAGAGAGAGGGTATCTCTTCCTTCAAATTCAGGCTGTCAGGGAATAAATAAATGGTTGTAGTAACTTCTAATATAAGCAAACACAGAAATGGTCCCAGTAGTCCGGGTACAAACTGGTTAGAGGAAAAGTAATCCTCTCTGCACAGACCTCTTCTTTCTCGCTTAAAACCTCATAGACAATTTCCAGCTATGTTCTAACCCTTGAAAATAAAGCTATTCTGACCACTGCTCTCCAGCCAACCAGGCCCTGTTCTCATCAGTCAGCAGGCTCCTGCTGCACGTACTGCTCTATGTGCCCAACATGTGAAACCGTGTGCAGCTGCAGAAGCCACATGTCGCTGTCTGCAGAAAGGAGGGGCTGACTACTAGAGCCTCAGAAACTCTTTCACTCCCCTTCTGCTCTGCCTTACCAAGCCCTCTCACAGAAAGCCATTGTGTAGGCTGAAGAGGGAAATAAAAGAAGGGCGGACTTTTTCCAGCCTCCCTGCAGACTACAAGGTGATGTAAAAGAACAGTAGCTACCCCCCCTACAGCTCTGCTGAAGTGCAGGCCTCAGGGGGCCCGCCGACATAGGCTTCTCACTCCAGATTTGTACTGGGCAGCATTGTCTAATAATGAGCTGAGCTCAATTGCTTACCATGTATTTTGCAGCATAACTAATCCCTTATATTTGTGCTTTTCACCCACATGCCTTTTTTGTTTGCTTTAAAGGGAAAAAAGCTTCACCTTTAAAGCAACCCACACCTCTCAGCCATTTGGCTCTCTTGCCTCCTCCAGGGAGACAAAGCTCTGACCCAGCACTGTAGATACCTGTCTTTCCTGGTGTTAGCACTTCTCCAGTTACGGAGGGACCAGTAGTTTAAAGGTGAGAACAGTGATGCTATCAGGCAGCTTATCCTCACCTCAGCACTCAGCCAGCTAAATGTTTGAGATAAATCTTAATATTCATGCTTCCCGGTCCCTTAGCTTCATCAGTTAGCCATCTGCTCAGAATCCTTCCTGTAAAGCAGAACTTCTCAGCTTTTTTAAGGTTGGCAAAAGGTGACTCTTCTTCTCACCCCATGATCACTTTCTGACTAAGATGAATTCTGCCAACCTCCATTCATAAATTCATTCAAGCCATCAGGCACCACGAACAGCAGGGCAATTGCTTTTTCCTCCTAAACCTATTCATCACCAGCCATCCACCAAATCTCAGACTTCTTACTTTCCCAATCTTTACTCCTTCCCATGAAGCACAGTAAGAGGAATGATCAACATACACAGATGTAGGCAGAGTTCTTAGAATGTATTTTTGTTCACCTGAAAAATAAAACTTTTAAAAAATATACAGGACTTTTTGAGTACAGGAATATCTTAAATGGCTGAATTATAAATAATGTCTCTGGTCATGTTCACAGCTAGGGCTGGACCAAATGTCCTAATTCCAGTGAAGGCTTTAGAGTCAGGAGACCAGCAGCTGGACCTATGAGTGGTCTCCCTAGACTCTCTGATCCATCCCAAAGTGGATTGAAACAGTCCAGAAAACAGGGGTCGGGAAGAGGACAGGGACTGGACTCCCAGATATTCTCCTATGAGTTCAAAGGATTCTTGGAATAAGAGATCAATTTACAAATTATTAAAATATAGGACTAAAAATTCACACAGTAAATATAAATTACAGGCTATTATTGAAGTTATAAAGTGGCATTTTATGTTTTCCCCCCAGTCTCCCACCAAAAATTTAAAGGCTTCATAGGCTTCCTAATGACTGAAGACCTAGTCAGCTGCTAAGAAATCTCTAGCCAAGAGACCTTGGAGGTGTTACCAGCCTGCTGGTAGGCTGTGACAGCTCAATTGCTATTATCTTGCCCACACCAGGACATGGCTTAAAACAAGGCTGTTGTCCTGTAAACTTGGATCAGAGCTAACTAGAATGTAGGCAAGAAAACTGGAGAGACCAACTGTTTCAGGACTCAGGTGAGTAAGTTTTTTATCTTTTTTTTTTTTTTTTAAAAAGTGCCTCATTTCCCAAAAAGGAAGCACTAAGGGGTTTGATATCTCATCCCTACCCACATTCAATTGCCTAAAAGCAAGTGGCAGAAGGAAATGGAATCCAAATTGAGGAAGCATAATTCTTGCTGCCCCAGAGCTATATGTATTATCATTTCTCTTGATGTTTCTCATCTCCTTTAAAAATTACAGGCTGCATTTAAGTACAGCTTATCAGGAAAGGTAAACACAGCCAATTCAAACTTCCCATGGCTGGCCTAGTAACTGGCTCTCCAAGCACAATCCTGAGTCTGAAGCCCACCTTCTAGCTTTTCTGATTCTGCAGTATAACTCAAACCCAGAGGATGTGTGATCAAAGCTCTGGTGTCACAACAGATTTCATCTCAGTCGCAGGGCTGCTTTGTTGCTGTAGGCTCAGGAAAGATGGAAGGCAAAGGTTGATTACCGGAACAAGACAAGATCTTGAGGAGCAGGGAAATAAAAAAAAGATAAAACACTTGCCAGTCACTCTACTTACAAAAGCTTGTTCTTCCTAAAAGAATTCTGTGCAGGGAGGGCCATGGCTGAAGCACAGCAGCATTGCTCTTTCCCTTCCTTCCTCCCTGGCCCATATCCAGATACTCAGGGCTGCAACAGGAAGCCTCTTTGGTGGGGGCACTAGGGTAGGAAGAGGAGGGGATCAGTACATTCCTCACCCTCCCTAAACTGCTTCTACTTTGCCTAAGGTTTTCCTCTGTCAATAGTCTAAGAATGATTATACTCTTTTGTGCAAGAATGTCATAAACTTATCTTTCAAAAACAAGGGGAACAGGGGAGAAAGGAGGATGATGAAAAAAGCCGTGCCTGTGCCCTTCTGGCTAGGTGCACTATGGGGCCAGCAAATAGCCCTTGCTTGACCCCAGCAGTCAGCAGCTACCCAGGATGTGGGAGCATACATAGAGTTCTAAGTGATTATAGCTTCTAGTGCATATGTCAACAACTATATACAGGGATCTATAAATTAAATGCATTTCTGGCCACTGCAACTAGGTTGACGTACCTGAGCTCCACTACTTTTGGTGCCCTCCTTCTTGCGAGAGCTTCAGCTTATTAAAAAAGAGCCCCTACAGCCCCCTCCTTCCCCTGAGTCTTGGGGGAAAGCCCCAGTCACCCCGGCACATAGGATACACCAGAGCGAGCGCCGCGGACGGGTTCGGTGATGGGAGCTCCCCACCCCTCCCCCACCCCCCTATGGCTCAGGGCCCTGGCACAGCACGATCCTGGGAAGACCAAACCCCGAGTCCCCGGCGAATCGTGGTCCCTTGGCTGAACATCCGGCTTCGGGCCACGGGTTCTTGGGGCGGGCCGACGATCTTAGAGGGTTAGGGGGGCGTTCACTCTCGTGGGGGTCTGCCCGGCGGGCTCCCTGTCTCATCCTGCTGCACAGTCCTGCCTCTGGGCTTGGGGAGAATGGTTTCCGGATGCCCCCTGCGCAGAGGGGTTCAACGACTCCGGGGCGCCGCCGCCGCTTCCTCCTCTTCCTCGTCCGGCCCACGCTGCCGCTCCAGTGGCCCAGCTTGGGGGCTGTCTGCAGGGGGTTCCGGAGGCATCGGCCGATCCACCTGCAGTGGGGGCGCAGCGCGTGGCGCCTCGCGGCGGGACAACCCGGTAGTGTTGGGCCCTGCCGCCGCTGCCCCCGAAGTCCCGGACGGGCCGGTGGCGTTGGAGCCGCCGGGGGGCGGGCCAGCACCCCCTCCCGAGGTCCCGGCGCCCACTGGCTGCCAGATGAGGCTATAGTAGACGGCGAGCACGATGGCGGCCAGCGACACAGAGAGCACGTAGGCAAACACGGTGGCGAGCCGGACCCACTTCTTGTTGGTCTTGGCCGCCATCTTCGCCTTCTTGTCCCCGGTGTAGGTGGCCGGCTTGCCCCGCTCGGCCGGGGCCGCGTCGCGCTCCTTCATGGGGGGGCCCCGGCCTTTGCCTCGGTGCTCCACGGCCCCGGCTGGAGGGGGCCTGGCGGCCTGCGAGAACTGGACAGGGGGCAGCCCAGCGCCCTCAGTTCCCGGCGGCT